GGGTTTAAACTTTCCATGTGACTGCACCTAGGTGAACAGACACCTTTTTCTTTCTGACATTGTCTCACTATCCTTTTCAAAAAGAAGCTTGTTAACACACTGTCATGTTTAGAAGGAGCCTCTGGCCAGTGATGATGATGATGCAGAGATCAGTCACAGCATTCCTAATTTCCTGCACTTCCTTGAGAGGGAACTGAGGCACAAGACCCATCTTCAGGAAAAGGTTGACATTGCCGGAGAAATCCTAGTGAATGTTGCACCTACTGTTGCTTAAAAATACTTGATATTCTGCTGGAAATCATTAGCAAGGAACAGTACTGACTTACAAACACCTGACATTACTCTAAAGCAACTGAAGCAATTGTTTATGGATATCCAGACTACATCACTGCCATTAAGCAATTGCATATGGATGGTACAACTGCCGAGGGAGATAGTGTATGAAAGAGCAAAAGGTCTTAACTGCATTGCTTTATCACCCTCTGAACAGAAATACACCAGGGAGGATAAAGGAGGCATCTTTTCATGGCTGGTGTTCACTAAGCCTGACCCTTTTCATTACTGCCAGTTGAGGAAGGGTGACAGCTGTCACTCAGCTGACTGGGCCCTTTACTCATGAGCCTGTTATCTGTCTGGAGTCGCTTTCTGGTGGAATATTTACAGATGGACACCAGATACCTACCAGATGGACTCGCTTCTTCAGAGGAAACACTGAAAGGCTTCACATATCAGAAGGAAAAGGCATTCCCATTAAAAGATACTAGAACACTAAGGAAGGAGTCAAGAGCACAGGGATGACAGGATATTTATAGATTAGGTTCCCTTGGAGGTAAGGGATGGGGATGAAACTGGGAAGGGATGCACAAAGCAAAAAATCCTCCATATCTGCATTTCTGCTCCAGCTTAAGGACAGTTTTTGTCCTCTACAGTTACTCTGAAAAAGCCAATTCTTGAATGAAAATGTATTTCTCTATTGTTGCCATCAGGGCTATGTTCATCTTGCTCAGAGACTGGTGCAGGAGATGCCATAAGGAAAAACATCTTTACCCAATTTATGTAATTCAGATGTTTTAATGCAAAAGTACCACAATAAAAACAAGCATTTTCATATCAATGAGCTTGTGTTTTCAGACCTGGTATTGATGCTGTGTAAATAGTTGCACTTTGTGAAAAGATAGGCATTCCCCATCAATGTCAATCAGTGTTAACACACTATCCTTCCTTGAAAAATATCTACTAGCTATACATTATCTTGGAGTTGATACTATCTGTACTTCATGATCAGAAAATAATTGCATGAATAACTATTTTTTCCAATTGGGATATCTTTTGCCTGGGTCTAGTTTCAGTGCAGAAAAAAAGGTATATATTTGATGTTTGCCTCAGTTGGAAGAAGGTAATACTGGGGAGATCTCCTACTACCTGAAAACATCACTGTAATCTAGTCCATAAAATGAAAATTATGCTCTTTCATCTGTGGTTGTCTTGTGTTTCTGGAATTTAGACCTTTTATAAGGATATATGGCTGACCCACTCCAATCACAAGGGCCTTTTGTCTGTTCATTAAGCTTTGATCTATCCAGAAGCTGAAGTATTTATTAGTGAAACTTTTACTGTCACTGCCCTGAAAACACTAGATGGTGACCTCACACAAGTTTGACATCATTATTTCCATGTACAATGTACGCAGTGGCAATTCCTGAACCACTGGAGAATTAACTGGCTGCTCCCATGCTGCCTGCAGGCACGTCTATACTTAGGCTTCCCTAAAATAGGAACTAGACCAAAGAGCATGGCATGCTTCTGTGTTTGTAGCAAGTACAGGCACCAGAGCAGAGTTCTGCAAAGATGCAAAGAGAGTCTCAGGCACCTCACTCCACTTTACCAAGGGGCTACTTCCCCAGGAAGGATCCTGATGCTCACCAAAAAAGGGCTCATCACCCTGGCAATACCCACTTCCAGATGCCCATTATCCAGGCTTCCTTCCAGGCAACAAAGGACCTGACAATACTTTAGGGAGTGTGAAAGGAGTCGCTTCTGCTCCTCCCAAGAACCTTGATCCATAATCTCTTTAGTCTTCTACAATAAAGTTCACATTAATTTATTTTCTGGCCCAGCTTCCCCCAAAAATAAAGGCTGACCAGCCTCCTCTATCTTTACATACCAGGGAAATTTGAAGCAAAATCTACAGCTGTAGCACATCCCCCAATCTGGATTCAGAAAGATGAACATACTTTGTCTTGAGTTACATTAACAAACTTTGTTATCATATTAGAACTGTATCATAACAAAGTATTTCTCAAAATAAATCACATTATTCAACCCATTCAATAGTCTATCCCTTTACAACAGTCCTAACACAAACTATGTAAAGAAAAGTTTCAAAGAAACATTTCAGGAGTTTCTAAAAACCTTTCCTAAAGTTTGAGAACTTCAAAGCAAGACTGACATTCCAATATAAAATGACTTCCATTTTTTTAATGGCATTTTTCACCCTTCATAGAAGGTTTTTTTTAACAAGCTCTAATTATGACTGTTCATCTTTATTAAAGAGGTGAGACACTCTAGTCTCTAAAATCCCTTTCAAACAGACACTCAAGTCTTCCAATGGATTTGAAAACAGAATAGTTACAGTACCACTGCACCAGGTTAAAAAGCAATTAGCTTAGCATTAATGAAAATGTAAAAGTACTCCCTAAAGTTAAGGATCCCAAGCATAATCAATACAACTGTTCAAATCAGCTGTATTAGGAGATCTTCTCTCCATGCACTGTATATAGAGCCTAATAATCTGTTTTGGCATCTCAGAGGTTTACAGTGTGGCATTGCTAACATCCTTCTAATAGATATATCCCAAAACAGCAGTACTCCAAAAGATTATATGGCAAAACACAATGGAATGCATGTCTGGATAGCATCAAGAAAGGAATGTAATTCATACTTGCACAAAAGTATACAAACCAGTTGCTCCATAACATTTGATCCCACAACATATTTACCCCAGATATTTATTCCTGTTGTTTTAAATACATGTTTTGGGGGATTTTGTTGGTTTTATTTTTTGCTTGAAAGTAAGATATACAGCACAAATTACCATACTGATTCTCAGTAACAAGAGGAAGAAATAGAAAATGTGCTTCTGAATGAAATGTTTTGGTATCAATGTACTACTTTCAAATGCAGATATTTTTCACTCAAGAAACACTAAAGAACAAGAAAAAAAGCCCAAATATCTACATGTCTGTGGCACACATAGCACAGTATCAATCAGAGGAAATCTAAAAAGGTGATGGCATATACTTGTGTTTAAACTACTTATCAAGACACTTGAAACTCAGCCAATACTCTTCCTAGATCCTTTAGGAAGCCTGAAAGTATAGGTGAGAATTAGGCCAGGCTTCTGGTTTTTGCTGAAATTCAGACTAACTTTTTGCTACTGAATTAATGAAGCAACCTTGAAAAACTGGGCATCAGGCATATATTATTGTAGGAATGCACAGATGCTAGGACAGGAGATGTAGACCTAACTGCTGACATGAACACTCATATTGAAAGAGACTCTGTATATATTCCAGCTGGAACATTGTGACCAAAGGTGACTATATTCACTTGACCTTAACATTCCAGTGGGTGACCTAGTTTTGCCTGTCTACAAAACAAAAACAGAGAAAGAACAGCTGAAATAGAAATGCAGTCCTGTTCCTTTTAATATCATCTAAAAACCCCATGAGATCCCTGGCCAGCTCCTGGTAACTTCACATCGACCCACTAGAGAAAAGCAAAACAAAACTATCAGGAATTAGATATGACTGTAATTTGGATTTTGTTTGTTATGGCTGATTAAGAAAGACAGCACCGACCTCAATAGTGATGTTCTAGTATCACACAAAACTGTGGGATTTTAACTACAAAAAGCAGTGTATTGTTTATAGACTCAGGTTGTTCAGAATCAAGAGATCATTTTGTCACATGCAGCTACAGTAGATGCTTTAAAAAGTAATCTTCCATTTCACACAATAATATTCACACAATAATAATTGTGTGAAATACAATAATTATAATTAGTATTAACAATAATAACCTTCTATTTCACATAATAAATAGTACAGAGGAGTTTATATATGTGCATGTCAAACACACAAAGAACATGTTCATGTAAAACCACCATCTGAAGAGTGAAAATATCTGAAATAACAACAAATAGAGAAACCAGTCTCTGCAGCTCAATGCTGGAGTTTTTATTCTTAGTTTGTTTTCTGATATGTAAAATAGCTTAGAAATCCCATCTAGCATTGTACAGTCAGAAACTCCTAAAGAATGCCACCATTGAAAAACCAGCTCTGTAGTATCTCTGTATCCTACTGAAGCCAATCCCATGCAATTCTTCTCTTGTGATCTCCACCACTGACTCTACAGAATTATTGGTTAAAACAGAAATTTTCAGTAAAACAATCTGGTTTCTTATTTTCCTAAATTGCTTTGGAATGTTTGTTAAGTATATTGTAGAATACACTTTTTTACACAGTAAAATGAGAATACTGTATGGACAGTAAAATAAAACAACATTACTATTTCCTCACATGTATACACTTCTCAACACAATTATTTCAAACATGTTCAGACTGTTTACAATTTCTGATTAATACTAGAGCCAAGTTAACTGTTTACTTGTGATGGTATTTCAGAAACGAAAGAAATTCTGGTGTTGTAATAACACCTCTAGGGGATGAAATGAGGTTTCACAGAGCCCAATGTCCTTTAAAAGTGATAATATAAACAAAGTATGTTTGCACACACAAGGACAACAGACATTATAAGGTGTTACATTACCAGTCACACCAGGAATTTCAAGCTGTCTGAAAGGGCACATCATTTTTCTGGTGTGGATTTGCATATATTGGTGGGTTGAAAGGACAGACAAATATGTCAAAGCTCTCTGCCCCACTTTTTAAGTAACGATGGATTAAGAGAAAATGAAACTGCATCTGAAATGCTCTTACCTGTTGTTTGAGAGCCTCTAAAGATTCAAATTCCAATTTGGCGAGTTTCATCTGGATATCTCTTGGTTTATCAGGAATTACAAATGCCATGATAAACTTTATTGCTAGTAGCAAGTGCTGTGAAAAAAAAAGGAAAAATAAAAATGTTGGTTTATAGTTTGAATCATGGAGAAAACAGCATAATATTCCTGAATTTTAGTAACAGAGGTATAAACAATGATTTCTTCTGACACGTACAACACAGCTTACTATAACCACATTAAGCTTCAGCTACTCCACATTTTTTCTGTTTGCAGTCATTCATAATTTGAATCTAAACACAGATAGTCTGCCTTATTTCCATAGTAATCCTGTTTTCACTGTATACTATAACATTCTAACTGAATTTTGTATTTGTGATTCCAGATGAAATAATAGCTTTTAAAACATATTATTGGTGTATAGGAATTGAATATAGTATATACTGCATCCAGTATATACAGTTTCAGAGAGAATTTTTTACATGTATATAAATATATACATATATAGACACAAATATAATCCTTAAAGAAGTGGCACAGTCATGAACAGAAACTTTTCAAGAAATGGAGAAACACTCCATTTATGTCAAATTAGTAATAATTTATTGCAAAATTTTATAATCTTATTTAAGAGAAAACAGTAATGAAGTTCTGTTCAACCTAGTCACTGAGCAGTCTCTAAATTTCACTTAACTATGCACTATCTCACAAAACACAAATGCCAAACTGTCAAGGCAGTAGTTTTGTTTTTTCATTTATGTCAACTACGATCTAAATAATAAATTCTCTTCTCTCAAGGCCTGAGCTGACGTTATGCTGCATATTTGTAAGCAGGAACTTGCTCCTAGCTGAGAACACCCTGACCAAGATAAGGCAACACTCATATATTTGTGCTTAACTTCAAGCACATGCTTACGCTGCCATGATGATACTCATGGAGGTGCTTAAATTTAGGTAGCACATCCAAACTACTCCCCAAATTCCCCTGATTTTTTAAATATAAAATGAAGCAGAGCAGTGCTCATCTCTCAAATACCATTTTCCTGAACTGTATGATCTTGATGGACTTGGGCACATGAATAACAACATAACAGACCAAAAATCCCTCAGAGCCTGGTATTACACAAGCAAGAAGCTAATGAAAATACTACAGACTTCACAGGAGCTGTGGTGAAACTCTAAACAAGCCAAGAGGTAAGAGTTAAAGGGAAAAGTACGATTATGGTAACAAGAGAACAATGACAAAGAGCCATATGTTAAAATAGTTCTTAAAATGTATTGCAGAAACGCAGTAGGTCTATGAAACAAACATTACCTTCTTTAAAGAGGTGAAAGGAAGGCTGAAAATTTATACAATGAACAAAGACTAAAAGTTTAATAAATCAACTGGCATTGATTGCTGTGTAATGCAATGGTTACTACCACATTATTAAAAATTATGTAAACAGTACAACATTCTCTCCCTCATCTACATTTTCTTTTCTCCCTCTAGTTAATACTGTCTGCTACTAAGAAAACTTTCCTCCAAAAAAAAAATTTATAGCAAACAATGTTGGTTTTATGCCAAAAACACACAGCAATAAAACATGTATCAGAGTCAGCTTTGGAAGAATCTCTTAAATGGAAAAAGGCAAAATGTTGAAAACAACAATTGAACAAGACAAACAATACTGCTATGCAGAAGTCATAAGTAATCACAGGTTGAAGGGGAGTAACTAATCCACAGATAAAATTTTGGTATGTAAATGTAGAAATAAAGAGATCAACTTGGGAATTACTCAAAACTAAATAACAGAACTGGGCTAAAATCTTATGCTTAAGGCAGAATTAACAAAAAATTGAGGTATTTGGAGAAGGATATTTATCTGAAAAGTTACAATGAGCAGTTAAAAAGAGACTCAGCATCACACAATGTCACTTCTAGATGCCTAAAGTCCTTTGCACTGGGGTTCATCTCACATTACTCAACCAAAAAAAAAAAAAAAGTATTTTTGAAATCCTATTAAGGAGTGAAAAATCAAAGTTTGCAACTGTAATTATTCAAGCACTGCCTCTTGAGGAATTTTTAAAACATGAGCCAAGTGAGTAACTTTACACAGAAACTTCAAAGTAGTTCCAAATTCAAACAGCTTTTAAGAAAATACAACAAATAATTTCAAGGAAATGTAAATAATATTACAGAGGATAGAGACTGACTAAGTTTTTCCCTTTTTTAATACACATGAGGAAGGAATGGAAGAGACATCTAGGGAAACCAGAGCAAAACCCAACAAAAACACTGCAGTTAAGGCTGGAAACCATTGTATCTTTTAGAATAAATTCAGAAGAGCAACATGTTTTAAACTGCTTCACTATGTAATGACTTTTATTGCACGATTAACTAACTAGCTGCTTGTCAGAAATTAGTTTTCATGCAAGCACTACTCAGCCAACAAACACAAGGATACAGTCTTAAACAAGAAGGCAGGACCTCTGACTCATCATCAAGCCAGAGAGGGATCAGAAGTTGGTGTACAGATGTGGAAAGTCACTACTTTTGCCTGCCCCACTGTCCAGTCTTTCCTAGGCATCCACTAAAGACCATTGTTAAAAAAAATAATTAAAAATTACAGGGTTAGGTAGACCTTTGTTTTACTCCTCTGAATGGCTTTTTAATGTTCTTTTCCCTCCCATGACAAAGCTTTACCAGTCATAAGGTGCCCAGACTGTGGGGGATGTCCCTGCGTGCAAGACCTGTGACTTCAGAAACCACACTGGACTTAACAGACTGCAAATTGAGCTCAAGCCCACCTCATACCTCCTGTGAACCTGAAAAAAGCCATCAGACAAACAGCCTCCCTCGGATAACTTTTCCAGCTGTTCATATTTGCAAATTTAGAACAGTATTAATAAAACTGTCAAGGCGGAACTTATGAACCTGGGTCATGTGATCCATGAAACCTCTTGAAAATAAATGGATCTATTTTATTAACAGTTGGTATTTAATTTTGAAATTGTAACTTGACAAAGGAAATGTAAGTAGTTATTCAAGAGAAATTGAAGGAAAAAGTAGGGAGTAGAGCAGTTAAGTTCATTATACCAGGCACATTCCCATACTGATTTCTTAATCTTGTTTAGTATAACTCCTGGAAGTCAGATCCACAGAAAGCAGACATCTGCTTTCAAAAAAGAAATGTCTAAGGAGTATAGTATAAATCACCAGAAGACAACAAGATGTACTTTCATTACATTAACACTAGTATAAATATGTTATAAAACCAAAATACTAAAGTTTATCCAAATTTTCTATACTAGCGTAAACGTATTTGTTCAATTTCTTCATAAAGCTGGTTGTTAGTTTGGGGCTTTTGTTTTGGTTTGGTTTTTTGTGGAAATCAGGTTACAAACCCAAACATTATTTCTATCTGCAACCATTAAAAAGCAGTGAAAGGCAAGAACATGCCTTTCATGATTAAAATAGGACTATTCCACTGCAAGCAAAACCCAGGGTAACATTCCCACAAGCTCTAAGTTCTCCAATGCCAACAGCAAAATCCCCTCTTATTTTGCAGTGAGCCAAGTGAGCATACAAACAGCACTGAACTTCTTCCCCCTGACAAATGCAGTGCCATCAAACTCTTGTGGTCCTGTGCCAGGTGCTTGGTGAGCCAGAAGAACTCAATTCTGTTCTGCAAAGACACCAGCAAGAGCAGAAGCAGCAGCTGTGTTTTGCAGCAGTGGGTCCCCAACCTCACCTCTTCTAAAACAAAAATTGCCAATTAGGGCTAAATTCCTGAAATTATGAACAGCTAATCTGATTTTTATAGTGGATTTACCACAGCAATTCCTGACAAAATCTACTCAACTGAAGAAAAAAAATTTAAAAAAAAAAAAAAAAAAAGAACACAAGCAGTAGCTGTGTTGCTGGTTAGCTGATAAAGTGCATTCCAAACATCAGCTTGGGGAGACATTAATAAAATTTTGCATCAAAAGCCTATTTTATAATCTACTACTTATAGAAACTTTCAATTAACATCAGAAATCTGGACCTAGACCACCTAGAACCATGCTCTGAAGCAAGGAGGTCTCTGGTTACTAACTCTGCACAAGTGAAGAACCTACACAAAAGCCAACACCTGAGAACAGCTCCTCACTTGAACCTCTGTCCCCTGTTGGCCTTTGCCAGAGGAAAGCATCACTGCAGAATCATGTTGCTGTCAGAGCAGAAGGCAGGCAGATCATTAGCTTCCTTGCTAGGACTCCAGATCACAGTATTCTGACATTAAAATAAGCTAAGTTCAAACACTAAGAACAGGCAAAAAACAAACAAAAAACCAAAAAAACCCAACACCCCCCCCCCAAAAAAAAAAAAAAAAAAAAAAAAACAAAAAAAAAACCACAAAAAAAAACCAACCAAACTTTGTCTTTTAGTGGCAACAGTCTTTAGTTTTGTGGGTCTTGCATCCTTCTGAGAGGAGCAAAAAAAGCAGGAGGAAAGTGACAAATAATTCTGTCAAGGGAGCAATAGAGGCAAGGAAAAATTTTCATAAAGTTCAGGAAGTTCAACTAAATTAAACTGTCTTTAATAGATATCAATAAATTTATGAGCAAACATTTCTTCAGTATACATAAGAAGAAAGCATGACCAAACCTTCCTTCCCTCCAGTAGGCTTCAATAGAGAGTCTTGCTAATGTGACAGAATTATCACAGCTGAGGGACTTTAAAAAGGGCTTTTCTTCTGCTACTCTGACAAATACTGCTTTTAAAATCACATATCCCCTGCATTATTATAGAATTTTTCTTTCAAAATTTTATTTTGTCCAAAAACATGTCCAAAATCCTGGGGGAGGAGAGGTGAGAAATGACAAAGAAGTTATTACATGTTGGGTCTATTTCATGGCTTCTTCACCTCTGCCATTAATCTTCTCTTCCACAAACATCCACATGCACACACTCACAATCCTAACACCTGCCACGATCTGTAAGCTCCATCTACCCTATTTATTTTTATTTATTCCCAAAGCAGCATAGCTCATTTCTCCCTCATTTCAGCATCCTCCCTGCTGAAACTCCAGGGAAACACTAGGACTGAAGTGCAGCCTTCCTGCCTCAGATCA